CTGTACCTGTATCTGTATCTGTATCTGTATCCGTATCTGTATCTGTATCTGTATCTGTATCTGTATCTGTATCTGCATCTGTATCTGTATCTGTATCTGTATCTGTATCTGTATCTGTACCTGTATCTGTATCTGTATCTGTATCTGTATCTGTATCTGTATCTGTATATGTATCTGTATCTGTATCTGTATCTGTATCTGTATCCGTATCTGTATCTGTATCTGTATCTGTATCTGTATCTGTATCTGTATCTGTATCTGTATCTGTATCTGTATCTGTATCTGTGTCTGTATCTGTATCTGTATCTGTATCTGTATCTGTATCTGTATCTGTATCTGTATCTGTATCTGTATCTGTATCTGTATCTGTATCTGTATCTGTATCTGTATCTGTATCTGTATCTGTATCTGTATCTGTATCTGTATCTATATATGTATCTGTATCTGTACCTGTATCTGTATCTGTATCTGTATCTGTGTATCTGTATGTGTATCTGTATGTGTATCTGTGACTGAATTGCTATCTATTTTCCCTCATTCTCTCCTTCTCCTTTTCTATCTCTTTCATCTCTCTATCTACTTATCTGCATATATGTAACTGACATTTCTTGTCAACGATATACATTTTTTTATAAATAAATTTTTCAAATTTAATACCAATCTTATACTCCGAAGTCAGCTATGCTATGTGAAATTCTTCTTATCCTGTTGTATGCATAATTTTGATAGTAATACTATTAAAATAATATTAGTTTTGTTGAAGGCTATTCGTTTTGCAGACAAATTCTAAATGCACATTTAATTTTCAATAACAATATGCTTCATTCATATGTGCGTTTAGCTGCACACTAATTATTATCTGATGTGAAACTCGAAAAAAGTTATATCCATCTCAGAATAGCTTATCGTCATATCCTTTTTGGCCACCAACCTGTCAAAGAAGTTTTTAACAAACTTTCTCAGTGCTGTCCATAACACTCACACACCCACTCACAGCTACACCCAACGGAAGTCCACCACTTATAGAGACAAACAATCTGATGAGTCTAAGCCACCCCTCACTAATTAATAGGACCACACGTAGACGTTGACCCCTCCACGACAATGTCTTAATCGAAGCTATAAATCTGAGCACGCATTTTAAAGAGTACACAACGAATGAATGAGTGAGAGGGAGAGAGAGAGAGAGAGAGAGACAGAGAGTGGAATGGAGCGTCGCCGCTCATTAGAAATGCTAAAGACAAAGTCAAACAGGCAGACGCTAACCGACAACACAAGAGCTCAAGAGGCTTATCGAACATCTGACATGTAATGACAGGGCTCGAACTGAGTCTTCGACTTGGACTTGAGTTGAGTTGAAGTTGGAGTTGGAGTAGAGGTCTGAAACTGTATTGAAGAGCTCTGGCTGTAGCAAGTGTAAGGCGCAGGTGTGGTGAAAGGTACAGCTAGCCACACGCGTGTCATAATTAAAACACAATTAGCATAATTTTGAGCTTATCAATGCATCACAAATGGCATTTTGAGTATTTATTGCATGACCGCAACGTGTACCCAGGCGAACCTGGGCCCGTGCTCCGCTGCGCTGGATGCTCTAAGTAATTTTATGACTTATGGGGCATTCCGAATGGCGCTGGCCAAGCAAATGGTAATGAAAAATCATAAAAATGAGAATTATAGCGACTGAGCAAGAGACGTGGACGTAGATGCTGACGTCGTCGTCGTCGTCGTCGTCGTCGTGGTTGTCGACGTTGTCGTTGATTCTGTGTAAATTATGGCAACCATAAAGCGAATGGTCAATGGCCAAGTCAAAAGAGCGTCTCCCGGTCCAGGTAGGCCGCCACCCCAGACTCTTGACTTGCAGCCCAGTTCAGTTCAGGCTCTGGCGTACAAATGGCGGCAACAAATCAAAGCGCCTAGAAAATTTGTGGTAATTGAAATTTTATGTGCCGCTCGAAGCTGCTGCCAATTGGCCTGGCCAGCATACTTTGTGGTTAATTACGTCAGCAGATTTGTGGACCAGCTCAGAAAACTTCAAGCCGGCCTCTAAAGTGCTCTATCTAAAGTGGCATCTCTATCGAATTTCCAATTCAAATCGAAAAGCATGTGGAAATTACGCGTTTACTAAAAAAAAAAAAAAATCCAAATAAAAACTAATCATAAATTTCCGCGTAAGCAGAGGGAAGTTAAGAATCAGCAGAAGCATACATTGGGCTTTGTTAGTAATTAACAGAGGAGACCATCATAAAATTAGACAGTTATTTGAGTTGATGGAAATGAGAAGCTCTTGATTATGATAAGTTATACGGTAGTTAGAGATAAACACAAGATGCTTATTTATAAAGCTTTATAGCTCCAATGAAATGCTGAAGAAAATATGATTTGTGGAGTGCACAGCTTATAAAGCTCTAATGTGGTATTTGTAATTAATTTTAATGCTTGAAGAGATTATATTCTTAAATAAATAACCTAAGGAGGCTGGGTACTGCAGCCCACAGGTGGCTAGGAGGAGGCTAGGCTGCCATTGCTTTCACTTCCTATATGATTCATAGCTCGTTATTCTTCAAGCTATGTGCTCTGTATAAAAACAAAATAATTCTGTAAAAATAAATGTAAATATTGAAAAAAAAAAAAAATAATAATAATAATAATAAAACATAAAATAACAATAAAATAGAGCAAAATATGAAAATATATTCTATTTGACTGTAGATAACTGACTACGCTATATGTAATGATGCAAATTTTTCAAACTCGGCAAGTATAGTATTTTCATATCTTGTTGAGTAAGTTGAAAGATTAATAAAAATTAATTTTTTTAAATATCAAAAAGCAATGACTCATTTTTGGCAAATATTCCTCTGTTTATATAGAACAGCATTTAAATATATTTCGTTAAATCTTCTTTAGCTTTTATGGCATTTTGTCCACTTTGAACATCATCAACTTAAGTCGTAAATGGAATTTATGACTTAATGCTTTATCGGAATTCATTGGAGAATCGTTATTATTTTTTTTCTTTATATAAAAAAACTTTCCTTCATAATGTAACCAAAAATATCTATATTCATTATATTCCTACTTTTTATTGAACCTAGTTGATGAAAATGGAATTTATGATAGCTATTTTATATCTCAAATAAGCAGATATGATTTCTACAAATTTATAATAGTATTTGTTTATGGAAGTGGAAATAATGTGGGCATATACCATCGACACGCATAAATGTATAAATGTTTCTATTGTTCCATGTTTTATGAAAGCAAACAGATTTTTGGCTATGTTATCAATGCAGCTAAGCTATATGGTATGTTATAATACTGACCTAAATATATTTATAAGCCAAAAAAAAAAAAAAATAATCATGTGACCTAACAACAAACAAAACAATGTACCATCGGCATTGGCTCTCAGATGTATTCAATATACTTATATGAAAAAAAAAAAAAAATCGTGTTTAACCCAACAAAGCACACATAAAATGCATAATTATAACATCAGAATGTAGTCAATGTTAGGTATCTATCATATACATACTTTCCCTTGATAAAACAAAAAAAGTCAAGATTAATTTGACACAAATTTGACAAGCATGTGGAGCTGGGGAAAATTGGAGTTTATATTACTCCAAATATATACACAAAGCTAACAATGATAAGATCAAACAGGACGCATATAAAAAATAATTAAACTGTCGTACGATACTCGAAACTGTTCGACGAAGGAATTGTGCAAGAAATTTATGACAGCAAAAGTGATTGGTGGGGTAGGTGAGGGAATGGGGCAAATGCAATCATATTGAATTGTAGCAGAGTTGGTTTTAATTAAAGATAGTGCTTCATGTTCTGTTGCCCAGCTGCTGGGCTACCTTTAAACAATTTCGGGGCTCTCTTATCAGTCAACGAGCGCATAACTATCTCAATCTACCATTTAACACATTGCCAGCATAATTTGGGTCAATGGACTTGAAAAAATTCTGTTTGGTTTTATGGGTCCAGATTATGGAGCTGTCTACTATCAGACAAAGCAGCGCCCGTCCTTCCAACCCGAAACCGTGTTCCCTTTCGCTGTTCCCGGTCGGGGAGGGGGCAAGGGGGTAAGCAAAACAAAACATCGCCCAATCATTTATATGATTGTATTCATGTATTCGTAAATACATATGCCTGGATACTCACTCGCATTGTGTTTACTGTCGATAAAGACTACGAGTAAGTAAGGAAATTGACTATATAATGCTTCGGCATATATGTATTGCGAGTACCTCTGCCCGATTTCAAGTGCCACCTGAGTCAGATCGAGCCGGCACGCTGCTGGGTGCGGGCATTTATATCAATTGCGGTTTGTTTAGGTTCGATTTCGTATTTGGTTTGTTTATATGTGGAAAGAAAAAAAAATTGTTCGTATTTTTTCTTTCGCCTCTCTGTCTCTGTCTTTGCTATAGCTGTCCCGCTTTCGGACAATTTTATTTTATTACCGCACTGTGGTTGTTGTGTTTTTTGTTGTCAGAACTGTTTAGCATTTATTTGCTCAGTTTGCCGCCGCCAGTGTGTCTGGCTAGCTGGATACTATATGGAGTGTATGCGAGTGTAGAGCGGTTGCGGATCGGACCTAGCGGCGGCTGTTGATATTTTACGATTTCCAAACAAAAGGCGCAGCGCGTTTTGTTTATATAATTTGTTGTCGCTGTCGCTGTTGTTCTTGTTGTTGTTATTGTTATTGTTGCTGTTGTATTTTATTTTTAAAGAGCCAATTTATCTGTCCACAAATGACAGTATCGTGTTGTCTTATATGCAATTGTGGTATTAACCATAAAAATGTGATGAAATGCAGTTGCAGTTGATAGCTGCAGACTGATTTTAATCGTGGACTGTTGGAATGCGTTTGGTGGGTAGTAGAAGAAGCAATAGTAGGAGAAATAAGTATTACAAAGGGAAGTCAGCGTAGCAGAAGTAGGAAAAGTATTATAAGTAGTATAAATAGAAATTTTTAATAGTAAGAGAAGTAGCAATAAGAATGGTATAGAGAAAAATGAAAATTGAATACAAAGTGGGAGAAACAATACCATAAGAACTAGTGGTATGAACAATAACAATAATTGAAAAGTACTAGAAGAGAGAAGTAGTAGCAGAGAAAGTAGCAATAGCAGAGCTAGTAAAGATGATAGTTAAAATATGATAATTAGTGAATAGGAGGTAATATGAAGAAAAAGAAGGAACTCAAGTGGTGATAGTATTGTAGTATAAACAGTTGTAATGGTGAAAATTAGTATATTTTTAGTATAACATTATTAGTTGTAAAAGTATTAGAATAACTACTAAAATGAAAATGACCGAAATGAAAGTCATAATGATAGTAGAATATAATGTAGTAATTGTAGTCGAAAAAAGTTTAAAATTAGTAGTAGTAGTAGTAGTAGTAGTAAAAGTAGTAGCAATTCAATAATTAGTAGAAATATGCATGGTAATAATAGTAGTAGTAGTAGTAGAAGTAGTAGCAATTCAAGAATTAGTAGAAATATGCATGGTAGTAGTAGTGTAGTAGTAGTAGTAGTAGTAGTAGTAGTAGTTGTGGGTCAATTAGTAGAAAAAGGTGTGGTAATAGTAGCAGTTGTCAACATTTTTAGAAAAAGAGTGGTAATAGTAGTTTTAGTATGTCAATAAGCAGTGTAGATTTCAGCTATAAAAAAAAAATAGTAGTCACAGTAATAGTCTTCAAAGATGTTGTAGTAATGGTAGTAGTATAAGTCTTGTAGTGGAACAACTTTTAAATGCAGTGCAGGCAGTACAAATATAGTAGTAATATTAGTATCAGCTGAACAATTACTAATATGACAAAAGGTAGTAAGAATCATTTAATTTGTAACTACAATAATAAGAGAACTTATATACGAAGTTGAGATATTAGCAAGCTAATACTAGTAAAGTGTTTGTGATGTGAAGAGTTATACCAAATGTAAAAGTTGTTCAAGTTGTCTCATCAGTACTATAAGTACTAATTTCAAACTCACCTGCACATCTTTGGAGAACATGTTGTTCGTGTGTATAATGACCGCACTGAAATTTCGCACTGTTTCAAATTCAAATGTGATTTCGACTGGACGACCAAATAATGTATCATTACGCCAGCCAACCCACTCGTAACCTAGAAAAGAAAATAAACAAAATTAATGTGAATGAATATAATGAATATAATAATGCTCTTGTTATTTATTTTCTATTTTCTACAACAACCATTCTTTTTATATATGTACACACATATATATTTTTCTGATTCATTTAAATGTTTCTTTTTATTCAAGATTTACTTATGTATATTTCAGCTTCTCCCTCGTGAAAGTCTATCATATCTTTGCTATAGACCTAATTCAAGTAAGTAAGCCAATAGCTCGCCTTTCATTACATTTTACTTTATGTTTTTTCTGTCTCGACAAATATCTACGAAACTAAGCACGAAAGTAGTCTAATATCCATTATGTATGATACCAAATGAGTTTGCCGCCAGTTTAGCGAAATTTTATGTGGCATTTATGAGGCAGCCACAACATGTAGAGCTTAAGCAGTTACTAAAGCAGTCTAGACTAAAGTAGTTTATGTGACAGGCACATGGAGTGGCATAAAAAACTTTTGATTTTAGGTAACCAGTGCAATATATGTTTACCTTTACCAAAGCCATTGATATCCAAGCGAAAGTTATCCTTGCCTCGCTGACCATCAACCAATTGGCCAAGTCCATTCACAAGGCGATCGCCCTCCTCGTGCCCATCATAGGTTTTATCGGATAGATCGATTTCCATGCCGCGTTGCACACCCTTCGGAATGCTGTACGATACAATGCCCTCTGTAAAAGCAAAATGAATAAGTTACGGGTTAAATAAGGTGAGCCAGTGAAAGGCAAGCCGCAAGTTTAAGGCGATTTGTGGCGTCATATTTTGAGTCGAGTGCAGCTACTCGTAATTATAAGGCTGTGGCTCATGTTGAAATTACATTAAAAAAATGTTAATTATTGGACTAGAAAGGCAATAAATTTGCTCAAAAACTGTAAATTAAAAATGCAGCATGCAATGGGGCCCAGAACTTGGCCACAGTGACGAGACCTTTAATAAAACAATAAAAGAAACTAAGTTTTAGCTTCGGGGTCGCGCGCAAATGCAAAACAAAGTCATCAAAACCGGTCGCACGCTTGATTGCATGCCTATAGATACTTTTTCATACATTAACGAACTTTAAGGTACTTTGATTTTGAAATATGCTCTGCGAGAAGGCTTTACAGTTGAATATGCCAGATATGCAGATTCGGGTTTATTTATTTACTCCTGAAGAAATATGGAATATGCAAAGCAATATGAATTCTTAATATAAGCAACTGAGAATTTTTATAAATATTTATTATTATATGCCTATATTAAATGAAATGGTAATAATATTGATGGATATAAAATAAAAATTTTTAAGTATTAATGAATTAAACAACAAATTTCGTTTAAGAGTTATATTAATTTACTCCTGAAGAAATATGGAATATGCAAAGCAATATGAATTCTTAATATAAGCAACTGAGAATTTTTATAAATATTTATTATTATATGCCTA